CGGGCAAGGAAGGTGAACTGCTTAGTGTCAGACAACTGGGACAAAATTTACTCCACTGCAGACGGGCAACACAAAGCCTACGTCCTTCTGTACGCGCACCCACGCCTTGCAGCGCTTTGCTGATGAGCAGACTTTGCACTGCCTTCTCTGCACTGCAGAAAACTAGGCCCTTAGTGAATAAGGTGCAAAAAGTACTCGGAAATTCAAATGTTTTTCAATAGCCAACTGAGCAATGCACGCCTGAAGTGCGACCTGAAGACAGAGAGGGGAAAAATAATCCTGCAAATTGAACAGAAACAATTTCTGATTGACCTCTGTGGAACGTGCTGACACAAGCGCTCTCGTAATTCAAAGCCATCTAAGTCCTGGAGATTTAACCAAAGAGCTCTCCAAGGCTCACTCGCCCTCCCTGTGCCATGTACGCTTTCAGCAAGAGAGCCTACGTGGGGATGGTTTGCCCAGTGGCCACCAGCAAATCAGAACATCTTTTTTAATTTCTAACCCTTTTCTCTTCCCCTTGAACTGAGGAATATTAGAAACATTAGGACTTATGGTAAAAATTCAGCTTACCCCTCTGCTAGACCTAAGGCACTACGTTTTGTATGTGGAACATATGGCAGTTTGGAAGAACATTAAGTCACATCCCAATATATGTTATCAAACATTATTATTACTGTTCTCTTCATTTCCGTCAGCTGCTATAATCTATAACTTTTTTTCTTTTTTCTTTTCTTTCTTTTCTTTTCTTTTTTTTTTTTTTTAAATCACACTGGTATTATGTGGCTTTGCATGTAAACCAGAACATCAATTACCACATCATGGCATATAAAACATAATGCATGTTAAATTGTTACTAGTGAGTTTAGCAGCATCTAAATATCAGTGCAAGAAGCCACTTTTCCAGTAACGGTCCAGAACAAGAAAGCAGGCTTTGATGAGCTCTCTGCTCACAACAGAGAAGTTGCAGCAAAGCCAGCTACCTTCCTAGAAGCCAATAAGGGAAGAAAAGGAACGTCTAAAACCACAAGCTAAAAAGCAGAGGGGAGGCTAACTGCAGGCCATAAACATATTTAGCCAGCACTCATGAGTGTGAAAAAGTCACGACATGGCAACGTTTTCAAAGCGGTCCTCCATGGATCATACTCTGCCCTTAGATGCATGCATGAGGTTCCTGCTTTCTTTAAGTAATACCAAGCATGTTTAAGTATTCATTTACTCCGAAAGTTTCTCATTTGAGACAAGCAAAGCTTCACAGATAATCTATTATGAAAACATAATGGTTCATGTATAATGAAGTCAAACTGAAGCATAATGTTCAAATATAATGGCAGTCAAGACTAGCTTTGGTATGTAAAATACTTAAGCATGCAGAATATGAAAGTAAAATCAATCCTGTACATCTGATGCACACAGAGAGGTGGTCTGTGCTGCAGTTAAGTGCAGTTCCAGAATTCACATCTTCACTACAAAGGAGCATCCACGATAAAGTGGCTTCAAGGGACAAGAGGGCAGAAGGGAGGCCAGGCTGTACAGCCAGCTAATTGGTGACAGGCTGCTAGGGAAGAAAAACATGTCAATAAATAAGTTTGGGGATATACTAACAGGAATGATTCTAAATTGTACAAAATAAGACAGCGACCCAGATCTAGTCTCCACATCAATAAAATACAAATAGGCATTGATTAATACACAAGCTCTGGTAATAGCCGATAAGAACTTCTGACTTCTGTTTTGTTACAGTCCACAAACCTGCTTGTCAAAGCCAGATCCCCAAATAGCAGCCAGGCATGAAGAAAGGAAGGTTGCAAACCTACAGCAGTTGCAGAATAACCTTTACCATCTTCTCTCTTAAATCTAATCGCAACACTGCATCTTGGGCACGTTCATCTCTGGGCCAACACGGGGCTCCGCTGAAGTCAGTGGTGTCCGTTCACAGAGGGAATAATGCGAGACTCTCAATAGACTGTAATTCACTGTAAACACACCTCCCATTTCGACTTCCTAAGTAGAAGTAACTCTTTAAAAGCAGAGTCTAAACCGTCTGTGCCATGTGCCTGTACGTACCAAGACCTTAGAAACGCACGTGCAGCGAAAGCATCTTTCCCCCTTATGTAGCCGCACCAGCAAGTGCGTTCACATGCAGATATAGAGGCTGCACATATGAAGGCATCAGTTTTGGATATAACCTATCAATTATATTTTGAATTCTTCATTTATCTGATTTCCTTCTTGTACTTTCACAAGAAAAACTAAAGTCTCTGAAGTCGATCTTCTAAAAGACATCATTAAGAAGAGGAGAGGACTAACATAACAGCAAGAAAGCTCCTGCTGGCTCTGTATCCACCAGCCAGGTAATGCCATGGGCTGAGGCAGTGCAAACTTCTGTCCCCTCCTGCCCTCCCAGCATACTGCACCCTGGCTGCGCATGGGCCTCTGCTAGCAGGTCTAATTCTGCGCTTTGTTCAGTCTTTGGCATTTCCCCTGGAAAAGGCAGCAGTGGCAGGTTAGCGGGACTGCAGAGGTAAGTTTTGATTTGTTTTGCTTTCCTCACTTTTACATATGAGACAAAAATTTGTCCTTTGCTTTACAAAGTTCATCCATGGTAAACAGAAGTTAGATAAAGGTAACCTGAGCTGGCTATTAATTTATGACAATCTCATCCAATGCTGAGTTTAAACTATCAATTCTCTGTCAAAACCTATTAATAAGGATCCTTCTGCCTACAGACCATTATGCTGACTTTAGGTAAAGTTCATGCTGGATGAACAAATCCATATCAG